TAGTTCTAGTAATTTCAAGCATATTTTTAAAAAACAATCTCAGATTCACATGCATGGTGTATCCCAAGACGTCAGTGTTAAGGTAGTTCCCTTTGCACACATTAAGCTGAATATCCATTACAATAGCTCAAACTGCTTGACAATCATACCAGAAAAGTCCAAAATCACTTGTTTTCCTCCAGTAACATTCACAAAATGTATAATCATCCCAAACAAATTTAAATAAAGGAAAATTGAGAAATCTCTTAATGTGAAAATATTGCACTTTAAGAGAGTATGGACCAAGATTCAGTATCTCAGTGGCCTGAAACACCCAAGTACTTTTGTTTGCGAGTTCGAGCCAATCTGATGCTGATAGTGATATAGGCCCTAACCATTCGTAGCACAGAGGGAGGTGGTAATATATTTGCAGGTCGAGACTGTCATCCCGCATCTGCCTGCTTCCTTATTGTATTGTATTGATTTTGTTAAGATTGATGGAAGAAGTGAAAGCATAGCATTCTGCTCAAATTTGTCTTTGAGGTCGAGGCTTCAAGGAGAAGACATATTCTCCTGTAACCAATAAACTTACCAGTAGAAAAGTGAATTATTTAAAGAAATATCAAAATTAAAGATTTATTTGGATAAAGATGGACATTATTATATATTTTCTTTTTCCTCAAAGATCTGGCTACAGTAACTACATTATATTTACTTTCATAATATATTACAAGACTTCTGCTTAGGAAAATGCACAGCCTTACTCAACTGTCTACCAATATATACATTTAACATTGCATTTTCCAGAATCACTAATAATCATAAGCATGTACTGCAATTAATACTGGAAATCAACACATTGATTGGCATTTCATACACACTTGTAATACATAAAATACAGATCTACGCAAAGAACAGATTGCTTGCATTTATAAATTTTGCTTCTGGTATTAAAGTGCAGAAAATACCAGAAGAGATGCAACCTTAAAAGACTTCAAAAGACCTGCCATGCTGTTGTGTACAACCTTTTTTAACAAAATAAATATGTGCTTATTTGCCAGTTTCTCATTATGCATCAATCTTGACATGCTCTCCATCTTCCTTCTATATCTTCTTTTTAATTAATACATTTCTTAAGATGGAGTGAAAATATATTTGGCATTATCAATGCAAGTGCTTGTGAGTGTGCATACATATCTAATTCCTTTTGCTCCTGTGATAAATATTACTGCTTTATTTTATAATCTTATGCACACTTATTAAAGCCATAGCTGTATTATGAAATGTAGTGTAAATATATAATAAAATGAGTATGTTTAGTAATATTCTCAAAAATGTATGTCATCATTTATGACTCTCCAAATGGATTCAAATGGGATTCATAATCCTTGCTTGAATCATCAGCAAAAGGATTCTTTTCATCAGGACTCTTGTGGGTTGGGGAATCAGATGCAAAAGGATTTTTAGACTCATCGTAGTCATCTTCAAATGGGTTGTTTCCCATTTGTTCTGTCTCAAAATCATCGCCAAACGGATTGTTACTATCCGCATCTGGCTCTTCAAATGGATTGTCTAAGGCCTTCTGAGTGTTACGAGAAATATGTGTGCTACTGAGTGCTGTGGATATGCTCTCCACTGGTGAAGGTCGCTTGGGGCTTCTATCCCTGGTAGCTGCTGGGGGTGATGGTGTGATGTGGTCATGGAGGGAAGAACCATATTTGCTGCCAGCTCCTTTCGTGGCTCCTCCCATCCTTGCAGAGTCATTTGACCTTAGGCGACTCTCAGCCACTGGGACAGTTACACTTGATGTTATCTGTGACCTCATCCTACCTTCTGTTGGACTTGTTATGACAGCGCTGGACTTGTCCTGTCTTACTCTCCCTTCAGGCATAGCTTGTGAAGTTGGCTCACTGGAAGTCTGAGCCATTTTTCTCCCTTCAGCCCTCAATCTACTTTCAGATTCAATCTCAAGAATACCCTGTCCTCGACGTTCTCCCATCCGCAGGCGACCTTCACTTCCAACTCCTAGAAAAAGAGAAATACTAAAAAGTAGAAATCCGACTTTCATTGCAGATTCATCCCAAATTAACAGAGAAATAACTTAAATATGAAACAGGATAAAGATGCAACATTATTCTGCTAGTGCTAACTGACCTGAATGACTTACACTTCAAAAAGATAATAAAGAGAACTCACCTGTGGGACCCTGGGTGACTTTCTCCAGCACACGCAATCTGGACTCCGGCTCTGGACTGTAAGTGAAATGAATGTGAAACTTGTGGAATTTTCATTTATTGCTCTCTGAAAAAATAGAAAACTACCAAGACCACAAAATTTTCACTCAATGGTTAAAATTTCTTTTAGGCCACATCAATATTCTTTGTTGCTTTTTAGATTTGCTGCTACAATTTTTTTTCATTTTGAAGGAAAGAAAAGAAAAGAAAAGAAGAAGAAAAAAAGGCTGGATCAGAAACCACTACAGGTTTTGCTTTCGCAAACCTGTAAATATTGCCACTATCAGAGGCACATGCTGCCAGAAACCTATCAGAGAGCTTTGTAGTCACATGCTAAAGGACAACCAATTGGGAAGCAATGTGGCACCTTTTAAAACAATGTGGCACCTTAGAAGGTTTTAATGTGTTGGTGTGCAATACTCTAAACTCTAGAACTAAACTAGACACGTAAACGTGCCAAGAAAAGCTGAAAACTTGAATAATCCAGTTAGTCTTTATGTTCTGTAAAACATATACTTTCAGACTTTTGCAATTTTATCTTTTTTTTCCCTCAATTTAATTTTTTTCTGAAAAATCTGAGAAGCAACAAATAAAATTGGTGGCCTTATCAAGCATAATAAAGTTCTTTTTATTTTCAAAAAAATATATTCTTAATTAATTATTTCCATGAAAGCAAAGACAGTTGGTCCTGAACACTAGCAAACTACATGTTCAAAAACTTTAGCTTGAGAATGCTTAGTGAACTCATAGCAACTAGTCCAATAATAATAAATGCAAAAAGAGATGCATAAACTTGTACAATATCTAAGGTTTATTATTAATGACAAAATATAATCATGTTAAATTTTATACCCCTTTTATATTTAGCAAAATCATGTTTTGTGCACATTAAAAGAACTTTTCATGCAACATAAACATAAATTTTATGAAAGTGAATGCAGTTTGAGAGTAAATCCCGCACAATATTCAAATACTTTTAAAATGCTCAAGCACAGCAGCCAGTTCTACAAGCCAGAATCTTTCTGAATGTTCCCCATGATTTATAATGATTCATGGGAAGGTTTTCTCATCATGGCAAAATTTAACAACTCACCGACTCCACCAGTATTATGGTTGGGAAGCTCTGCTGCTCTAACTCGAGCCTCTGAACCTGTGTCTGTCACGTCCTTCTCTACAAAAGCGGATGCCTTTGGAGGTGCAACTTTACCCTGCATGCCTATAAGATTATACCATGCATAGCCTTAGCATAAATCAAAAGATCTAAAAAATGAAATCAAGATATAAACAAGAAAGAGTATAACATGCAAATCATATTTGCACGGAAACTTTTACTCAAGCACTACATAATAATAATGATGCTCACAGGAGTGGATACGAAAATATAATATCTTTGAAAGAAAATTAATCTTTAATCAAGAAGCTATCCATTATTCACAATCTCTCAACAAAAAGCTACAGCTGTGAGGGTTACTAAACAACATAGAAGATGGGAAATGTAACCATGCAGCATACTTGAGACAAAATACAAAAAAAAAAATTGTTACTTTTTGTGGTGTTGAGCGAGGGATACATGGTAGCCAGGGTGTGGAGATGAGTGAACACCCCTCGACCGAGGTAATCAGCAACCACGGAAAAGGAATCCGTACATCTTTCTTCATGAAACTGGTCATGTTGGCTGCGAGTTTTCCTGCATAAGGGATCAAAAAACATAATCATTTATAGATGACAATAACAATAATAATAATGATGATAATAATAATAATGAAATAACAATAATAAAATACTAATAATTACAATAATAATATTATTATCATTATTATTAATACAAAAGTAACAATAATAGTTATTAATAGTAATCATAATAATTATGATAAAATTAATGATGATAATGTAATTATTAATGAAAAAAATAAATATAAAGATACTGTAAAATATTCATGAACTCCCTAGACTCCTTATTTATATATATTTGGTGGAGGAATAATAATGTATAATAATAATAATGATAATAATAATAATAATAATATAAAGAAGAAGAAGAAGAAGAAAAAAGAAAAAGTTCTTCCAAATCACTTAACAGTCAAAATATCAACAAATAAAATTGAAAATATTCCATAAATGTGAAACCCTCCCCCTAAACCAAACAGAAACATCCATGCACCCTAAAGATGCAGAGTATATTACTAAATGAGAACTTGGGGCCTAAAGTAAAAAAGTTTTAGGACATGCAGTTCAGTAATGCAAGTTTTGGTGCACTAGGCTGAATTCAACTAAATAATCCCTTGCAGGTTATGCTGCTTACCAATCCAATTAAATTTCCTCCGGTGTTCCACTCTAACTCAGTAAGTTGCTTAGTACTGTTCTTAGACACAAGATGATAACCTAATGGCAGTAATACATAACTGAATGCTGACAAACCTAACAACATTTTGATATATGTAATTAACCCATTGGATCCGGGTAAAGTGAGCATCATATCCTTATAAAAAAAAATAATAATAATAATTAAAAAAAAAAAAAAAAAAATAATAAAATAATAAAAAAAAAAAAATAATAATAATAATAATTAAAAAAAAAAAAATAAAAAATAAAATAAATAATAATGATGAGGGCTGGGTGACAGGAATGTGTCCTCATGGAAAAATCTGACTGAGGGTTGGAGTGATAGGAATATTCTGTCATGGAAAATTTGGCTTAAGGCTGGGGTGACAAGAATGACTCAACATAAGTTCACAAAGCTCTTGGAGGGTGATTAGACACAGTGGTCATTTAGGAAAGTACTTTAAGGTTATTTCCATAGGTAAATGAGTGTGGAATGTACTATCTATAAACCATAACTGGAAGAGTGCTTGCTCCAGGGAGGGCACTATTTCCATGCTCAGAATCCTATTCCTGCCAGCTGTGACTAGAGGCACAAAGTGTATTAAAGAAAACTGAGTAATACAGAAACATTCTAAAAATTAGTTATACACTACCTAGAGAGATGGAATGGAGTCTGTGGATGGAGATGACAAAAATAGACCTTGGGAAAAGGCAAAAAATGTTTATACAGAAAGAGATAATAACATAACAGGATAGGCAAGGAGTTTTGACACCACACACAAGTGTTTGTGTGGGGCAGGCCTACAAGCCACACACTCAAGACAGTCACCATGTAAGTAATCCTAATGCCCAGATTTTGGAACACACATGAGCAGCAAAGCACCCACATCCAATGATTTAATATAAAATATATAGGTAACCTTATATGAAGCATTACAAATAATTTGAAATCCAGCAATTCTCTCTTACCTGCGCCTTGATGACTTCTAACATTTTCCTGTTTTCAGGCAGACAGACTGGACAGTCGACATCACTCTCACTATAACTTTCAAAGCAACTGTGAAAGCAAAGAGAGCATACAACATGAAGTGAAATGGTGCTTAGTAATTAAAATGAAAGCTGTCAATAAACATGGACAAATCGTATGATGATAAATTTCTTGCTTCTCTTTTGTTAGTCACTGATTTAGTTGTTGTTTTTTAAACATAACATACACATTTCAAACATAGATCAGAAAAAAAAAAAAAAAAAAATCCATCCATCCATCTATATATACATTTTTTTAGGTACCCTGGGAACTTATTTTCATTATTATCATATCAATATCAATAAAACTGAATAAGAAATTCCCGCACAATATTCTAGGAATGGAGGAACTTGATGAGGTAGGCCAAGTATGCATAGTAATTGAATTAACGTGAAGCTGTGCAAAGAAAGAAAAAAAGAAAGAAAGAAAAAATCCACATCCCCTCACACACACACCACACACTCTCTCTCTCTCTCTCTCTCTCTCTCTCTCTCTCTCTCTCTCTCTCTCTTCTCTCTTCTCTCTCTCTCTCTCTCTCTCTCTCTCACTCACTCACTCACTCACTCACTCACTCACTCACTCACTCACTCACTCACTCACTCACTCACTCACTCACTCACTCACTCACTCACTCACTCACTCACTCACTCACTCACTCACTCACTCACTCTCTCACTCACTCACTCACTCACTCACTCACTCACTCACTCACTCACTCACTCACTCACTCACTCACTCTCTCACTCACTCACTCACTCTCTCACTCTCTCACTCACTCACTCACTCTCACTCACTCACTCTCTCACTCACTCACTCACTTCACTCACTCACTCACTCACTCACTCACTCACTCACTCTCTCACTCTCTCACTCACTCACTCTCTCACTCACTCACTCTCTCACTCACTCACTCTCTCACTCACTCACTCTCTCACTCTCTCACTCACTCACTCTCTCACTCACTCACTCTCTCACTCACTCATACACTCTCACTCATACACTCTCACTCATACACTCTCACTCATACACTCTCACTCATACACTCACTCATACACTCTCACTCATACACTCTCACTCATACACTCTCACTCATACACTCTCACATGCACACACATACACCCACACAAACACATATACATTAGACAGTGCATGCATATACACTTATAGTGGCAGAAATGGGTTAAATAGATTTTTTTTCTTTAACATAACTTTTAACAAAATATTCCTTTTCCACTATTGTGAAAAATATTCAAGTAAAACAATTTAATCCAACTTGACAAATATACCATGATACTATTAGTGCAGCAAAAATGACACCACCACCAACATAAATATCCCTCATGACAAAGTATTTCAACATATTCGGTGTCATATGTATTAAAAAACACTTACTGTTGATGGAAGGAATGTCGGCAGAGAAAGTGGACAGATGGCAGTTCCAACTCGTTGTTGCAAATGTTGCATTTAGTAGCTGTAAACTGTGTTGCACTGGCAAAATAAAGTTGATAGATATTAACACAACTAATTAAGCTTACAGAACATGAAAAGAAAAAAGTAAGGCTATGGTATTATAAGAATTCTGCAAAGATTAAACACATGCTATATTGATCTACTTCCATAATCCAAAAACATTATAATGCATTTCTAGAACATGCTGAATAAATTGTTTATGATACACACCTCGTTCTGATTCCATTGATTGTCTCTCTCATTTTGGCTGTGTCACACGAATATTGCTCAGTGCGGGAAGTCTCTGCGGTGAGAGTGGCAGTGTGTGCAGATACTACTCTGAGGAGGTAATCCCGCACCTGTCCTAGTGTGATGTGTGGGGATGCAGCCAGCTGATCAACTACCTCCAATGGTGGCAATAATGTTTTCTCCTCTGCAAACAATAGCTTATGAATAAAACCTAAGGGATGCAAAAGGAGTACTTCTCAACTGCATATCTCTTCCAAATTAAAAAAAACTATTGCTCTGTATAACCTTAAAGTATTCTTACCTATGTTATTAAGACAAGTCATTAGATACTGAGGGTCAGGGGGAGCTGTTGACTCTGGGGAGGTAAGTAGCTTTAATGCTGAACACCAGAGGCGAGGCTGATGCTGTGATCTGCGCGAACACACTGCAAGCATGTTCTCCACTTCACCTCGCTCTGCATACCAGGAAAGAGAGCTCTTCATACCTTGGGGAAGACAAGAAGCAATTAAAATTATGATAAAAATAATGATGTAGCACAAAAGCACTGTAAGAAAACTGACTTAATATTAAATAGATAAAACAATAACATAAGGAACAACTGTCATAAATGAGTATAAAATAATAATCCACTCATGCACATATACACTATATTCATACACAAAACCTATTACAGTACAAATGCCTGGCTATCAATTATACTACTAATAGCAAAACTATGATTGCAATATCATATTTAAAATATCTGCAATGAAGGCAGCATGATAATTCATATTGGCTTCACCTTTTCTTTAAAAGAGAAAAAAAAACAATCAAGCAGACAAGGCATGAGGGGGAGAGGAGAAGGGGAGGGAGAGGGGGAGGAAGAAAATAAGGAGGAAGAAAAGGAGGAGGAGGAGTTGGAAAAGGAAGAGGAGGAGGAAAAGGAAAGAGGAGAAAGAAGTATATGAAGAAGAAAAGAAGAAAACATATATGTATGTACATACATATATATAAAATATATAATATTATATACTACATATCATATATATTATTATACTTATTATGTCTACTATATATATTATGTACATCATTTATACTATGTAGGGGGAGGGGAGGGGGAGGGGGAGGAAAAGGAGGAGGAGGAGGAGGAAAAGGAGGGAGAGGAGGAGGAAAAGAAAGAGGAAGAGGAAAGGAAGAGGAGGAGGAAAGGGGAAAGTAGGGGAGGGGGAAAGTAGGGGAGGGGGAAGGAGGGGGAGGGGGAGGAGGAGGAAGATCATGAAGAAGAAAATATATATGTATGTATATACATATATATAATATATATATTATACAATATATATATTATATATATTATACAATTCTATACATATTATGTCTACTACATTTACTATGTATATTGTATATTATATATACTATTATTACAAATATCTTACATGAAATATATCATATATATTATATATCATATATTATATATATTACATAGGAGGAAGAGAAAGAAGTATATGAAGAAGAAGAAGAAAAAGAAAAGAAGAATATTACATATTATATACATAATATACATTGTATAATTACATATATCATATAAAAAATAATTAAATGAAATAAAATGAATATAAAACAAAATAACACAAAAGGAGAAAAAGAGATAAGAATGAACTTACATTCCTGCTTGTTCCCACAAGAGAAGCTTCCCATCATAAAACTGATGCTTATCACATAAGAGCAGGGCATGGTCACGGCTACAACCACTCTCTGTATTACGCAGTAATTCCATTATCTTTTCACCCAGTACCACCTGCTCCTGACCTGAAATCACAGAGAAGATGATGTTATAATCTTCCATTTCAAACCTTCAAAAAAATTCAGTTTTATATCCATTGTGAATTGTCTCAAAAGCCATCTTATTCACAGTAATACCTGGAAAACTGGACATTCACAAAAAATTTCTTTAGAATACTATGTCTGTTACCTTCTGGGGCTAGTCCATACTGGTGCAAATACTCTGCCAAGAGGGTTGTATAGAGCTTGTCTGACAGCTTCCCTGGGGATAGTTGCCATTTTCTCAAGAAATGCAATTGCTTGCTCACTATGTCCCACTAAAAGGTACTCAAATTCCTCTGGATCCCCATACACTGGTTCTTCTGGGGTGAGATAGCCATCCAGTGAACCCTAGAGAGAGATTTTACTTAAACAGGGCAAGTTAGGTTCTATGGAATATAACAAATTCCTTTTTCAGTTTGACAAAAAAAAAAAAAAAAAAAAAAAAGAACAGCTGTATGCTTCTTCTGGAGTCTCCTCTTTCAAGATTAGTTACCAAAATCTGAATAATAAAAATAAATGAAATCTCTGACTTCAAACAATTATCAAAAGTTATACCCTTGTGAAATATACTTATTAAGGATGATTACCACCTATGGCCTCTGCATTTTCAAGTGACCTACAGCAGAACTCACCTCTTTGATAAGGGGAGTGTTGCTTGGCTTGTAGTCAGTACAAAGTCTTATCAAAAGCTCTGTTGTCTCATCTGCCACATGATTCAGCAGGACTGATCCGTACCTCATTACACTTGATTTAGCTTCCTCAAAGTCCAGAGTTTTAATATACCTGTTAGATTCATAGCACATAAGCAAAATGATAATCATAATGGCATATATTTCAATAACTGTATGTAGACATCCACATTTATACATATCTAGCTCTATCTACTCATGCACACACCTCAAAGCTGCAACATAATCCTTTTTATCATCAATAAGGATTGCAAGTGATGATGATGTAGCTTGTGTTTAGCTGCAAGAGCAGAGCATGATCATAGTATCCGGCACTGCGGCACACACGCACTCCTAGCTCTACATCACAATCCACAGCCCCATCTTTGCTCTGTTAAGTAAATGTAGAGAAAAGGGATAGTTCTTCATATACATATTTACAAAAAACTGTCACATAACTTCATTCAAACATTTTAAGACATTTACCGAGATAACTTCAGTTGATATTTCTTTGCTTACCATAATAAACTCATCCAACTGCTGGGTGTCTCTCAGGCGAGTGTAACAGTTCAATAGAAGACTTGTGTGATCGGCTGTGGCTGACCCAGAACGGTGTAAAGCTTGGAGGTATGTTGTCAAATTGTGAATATGTTGAGTGTCTAAATACTGCAACATAAGAAATTTTGAAATTTACCAATTACAAGAAATTGTAAAATAAAACATAATTATAAGAATTACACCCAAACATCTTTTTCTTACCATCTCATTTCCTTAATACATCTATATGAATATCAAACAGAGAAGAATCACATAAGCTATATATAAAAAAGACACCCACTTTTCTTTCCTTTAAAATAATAAAAAATACAACTATAATTCTGGATTTTTTTTTTTAAGTGAAACTTTTTTAATATAAAAAGGGTGATGATATTGGCCCAACCTTTCTTATAACATATGATGGTTCAAGGTGTGGGATGGTTTTGATGTACTGGTCCATTGCAGCAGGATGGTTACCCTTGCTGTATAACCAATCTCCATACTGACGAAGAATTTCAGCCACCTCCTCTTGGTCACAGCACTGTGTTTTGGCCAAACTATTGGGGGAAAAAAATAGATAAAAAGATAACAATAGGATATTCTTTCTATTCATATCATCCATATGGTGTTGGCACTACACAGCTTTCACATATACTTTGCAGTGCACCCAAAAGTGTGCATCAAATAACCCTCAGATGATGAACCTTTCTTATCAACTTTAAATAAAGCCACACAAAATCTTTGTTTAGCCTTACCTTATTGCAATATCAAACTGATTTTTTCTTGAACAGTAGTTGGAACTTGCTTTGGAGGTCTTTCTCTGACATGTGCACCATAGCTGGCTCTGTTGTGACCAGGTAGAGGCCTCCCATTCCCCCACGACCCTGCTAACCCCCTCACCTTTGTGCTCAGGGCCACCAACTTGTTGGTTAGATCGTAAACAGTGATACTTCTTTCACTAGCCCTGGAATTATTCAGAAAATTTACTTTTTCACCTAAAAGCAAAAAAAAAAATAAGATAAAGGGAGAGAGTGAGAAAATAGGTAAATAGAAAAAATTACATGCAATACATGTTAGTGTGCGGTAGTATATTTGGATCTTTCTTTTTATCTAAAATTCTGTTCTACAAATACATTATATACATTAACACACACATACACAGAGAAATGAATGTAAGTGTTTATTATTTACTTATTATATAGATATAGATATATTCATATAAACTGACAGTCAGATAAAGATAATAATGACTAAAAATGCTGCCTCACACAAATATGAAAGAATAAAGGTAGTGAATTAGGTAAACCACATAATACTTGAATGATTTATCAAATAACACACTGTCTTTAAATATATGAGTGTTTTACAAACTTAATAACATTTCCAACACTATCTAACCATTCAGATACTAAGCAAGACAATTCTATAAATTTAGCAACTTATGTGTCAATGACTAACCTGCTAGCAGGCAATCCTTTATCATAGTGAACTACATGAGGTATCCTCTAAACCATGCTACCATGGACTTTTCTCCTTCAAACACATAGCATGAACCACGGCTGTCACTTGTGTAACTATATATAGCCTGAAAATCAAAATTCTCTTAAAATTCTCTCCATACCATACTACTAATGGCATTTTACATACAAACTTAAAGGTACTACCAATCATAACACACACACGTTATAACGAGAATGAGCTAAATCCTACTGTCAAAATTTATGACTAGTGTGCAATGGTGGAAAACCACTATATACCAAATGGTACTGTAAGATTTTCCCTGTATACTGTATATTCTTTCATTCTTGAATTTCACATATCTATCAAAGCTAATTGTAGTACTGTTTTTGGCATAATCAGAATCTTAGAATTTTTGGTAGATAAATTACTGCATTTCTTTCATGATCTTTATGTGTACTGTTAAAAGAATAGCAGTAGATAACATGAACACTATTTGTTTTTCATGAGTAATCTTAGTGAACTCATGCAGCAATAAATCTTATTAATGTTTGCACTGCAATTTGTGCCACAATAATGCTATACTACAATATACCATATAAGGCAAGCTGCAATCTTACATCAGGTCTTGCCACTAAGAAATGCTCGTGACGACCATCAGCAAGTGTCGCACAACCAGGCTCACAACCCACAGAATCCAGCTCAACCTGTGAAGATCAACATCCAATTAATATTCTATTTCAATTCATCAAATCCACAGTATATATATATTTTTTAAGTTCAAAAGTACTTATAAACAAGTATTCAGAAAACTTACTGTTGTTTCTTTATCTCTAGCAGTGCAATTGATACAAAAGATATTGTTCTTTGTGGTGACAAAGAGATGAGTTGCACGTGTGTTGTGTCGGATATGAAGAGATGTAATGCTGCTGGAAACTGTCAGCAAGACTCGGTGTTTGCTGCCACGGTCTCGACTCACCTCACCTGTGAAAAAGTGTAATGGGGACAATTTACTTGGCAACGGGGTCAACCCAAGGAAATACATTATTAAATGATAAATTCTGCCAGTACTCCTCCTATGAACACTATATGAATTACCAAAGAAAATGTAAACAAATTGGAGGAGAAAACCCAAAAATATACCAGCACTTGAACAATCTGTGAAGGAGGGAGGAGAGAGGTTTACAATCACAGCTTAGTTTTACCATATAGGGAGTTTATATGCTATACATCTCACCTCGATAAAGCATGACAGAGCCATCCTGGAAACCAACAGCCATAAGGGACAAATTGGGATGGACAGCTAGTGCTGTGACCTTGGGCACTTTCCCTGCTTGGTTGAGGCCGGAGCTAGCTCGACTCCCAGCCTGGTTTGGCCTGGGATCTGGACATAATGTCCTGAGACAAGGTGGTTGACCATGAACATCAGCCTTGTCTGGGGCCCAGACCTTGATCTCTGAGGGTCCATCATTCTTATCCTGAAACAGACAAGATGAAACAACTTAATTTGAGAATGATGTCTTGAACAAGCACATATCTCTATTTCTCAATATCACATAAACTTATTCAACAAGGGTAACCTTACAAATCTGAGTAAGAAATACTTACAGCTACAGTGATGATGATGCTTGTGTGGTCAAAGGCTGTGATAGACTTGACCGCCCTGTCAAAGGCTTGAAAAGAGTCAAGTTTCAGCTGTCTGGTGAGGCTGTGAACACAGCCAGTTGAATCCCCTATGTAAACATGGCCTCGACCAGCAGCTGTGCATGTTACCTCGCACCCTATGACATTCCATTCAGATGAGGGTGTTAAAACATATGAAATCTTGGGAATAACTGAACAAATGTACTAGTGCGTACATTCATCATATCTATCAATATACATTATAAATAAATATCATAAGGATAATAATTTACAACTTTAAAAAAGGATACAGGTACTAGAGCCTGAGAGCAAATAACAAGGCAAACAAATGAGATATTTTAAACATAGGCCAGCAACTTCAAACTCATCTTAATATCAATATACTGCAATCAATCTAACCAACAGTTCAAAAAAGCCTTACCTTAACTGCTTCTGCTAGCTTCCCTCCATCAATATTTGCTTTAACATCAAAGAAGTTGAACTTCCTCCACTGAAAATTGAAAATATAAAAATTTGCAGTTACATGAAATAACAAGCTACTATTAAAAGAAAAAAATATTCAAAACAACAACACAAGTGTGTTAGATAATACTACATCATACCATCAATCTTAACCTTAGCATCCAAAACAATGCAAAAGAGAAACATTAATTTTGGTAAGGTCAAAGCGTTCATTAAACTGATAGAATTTTAATAATAAAAATAAACATTTCTAATATAAATAATATACACTACTAATGCCCTATTTCAAGAAAAAATAAAAACAATATTAGTTGGCAAACAGAAAATGAGCTTACATTAATATGTTATTATTGGTAAAAGTTAACCTAACCAATTATCCTTTAGTGTACGTACATGGTCATAGTACTTCCCCCCTTACAACACTTTGCCATAAATCTAAAATGACTTGTGTTTCTTCATTCTAAGGAGGAATGTTTACAAGAAAGCTGCAGTAGTTTTCATCATAGGACTTTTTCATAATCAAATTGGCTGATTTCTAACCCAATCCAGTTGAAACTGCAATCTGTGATGCAGGGCCTATAATTTTCAATGCAATCCAATAGTGATGCAATGTCAAGTGAATGTTGGAGTAAGGGCACGATAGCTCACACCAAAAACTTTTCTCAACCACATTTCACACTTTAAATTCTCTTCCCCAGCTGCCTCAATGTCCAGCTCTCGCAAGCCTATGAGGTGATACTCCAGATGAAAGCTTTGGCAAGTCTCATTTTTAGTGCAATACATAGCACTCTTGCTCTCAATGCATTTGTCATAATTATGTGCCATAAAGTTTTTGGCTAATCCAGATTTGGTCTTTATTTCACTGGTGCAATCTTCTATTAGGAACTTGAGTTTTGAAAAAGATTCAGTCTCACTGTCCTCTTATTTTGATATCACCACTTGCATGCAATGTCACTGCTGTTTACTTGTTGCTGTTTATTTGGATTCCTTTCACTTATCTTGTCTCTCTGAGGTTCTGTCACAATTGTCAATTCATCTTTGGATCTTGCTCTTAGTGTTGCATCATCAGCATATATATTCCATATTGTACTGCTGCTCACAATTTTTTCCTTTGTGACTTTGAAACTTGTTCTCACCTTTCTCATGATCTCTCCAACAGTACTGAATACCACTGGTGAAATGAGATGGCCTGGGAGACTACAATATACATAGAAAAAATCTACTGTCCTATGTAAAAGTACCACAGACCAGGGAACCAGTGTACACACCTTAATTAGCAACTAATGCAAGGGTGCCTTGTAAACATCAACCATACACCTGTTACTGTATAGAGAATCTGAGCTCCCTCCTTTTTCTTTGCAAACTATTATTTACACTACAGCCACCTGCCTAATATTTTCAATGAAATCAATGACATAAGCTTAACATCTTATGAATAAGAGAGAACTATAATATAGTTATTCTACAAGACTGATTATCCACACACACAACATCATTTCTAAGCACTCACTAGGTGCTCAATAAAAGCTGATATCTAACCCACTTCCCTTTTTTTATTCTTTACCATACCTTTATACTCCTTGCTTACTCACAGTCACAATTCTCCAACACCCTTCCTTCCTTTGTGAGGAGCTCCCATATTAACAATCTGAAGCTGACTTTTGAGACTAAATCTTACCATGCTGACAGAGAGAGGGAAGTGAGTAATCAGGAGCAGTCATGCATGAACATCTTCCCCTCCTAGCCACTACAGATACATTGTTTTGCTGGAATGTTTTCAACACAAGCATACAATATTCCAGACAAGTAAACATTTTGCTCTCTTGTGACTGCATTACTCTCTCTCTCTCTCTCTCTCTCTCTCTCTCCTCTCTCTCTCTCCTCTCTCTCTCTCTCTCTCTCTCTCTCTCTCTCTCTCTCTCCTCTCTCTCTCGTGTCTCTCTCTCTCTCAGTGTCTCTCTCTTCTCAGTGTCTCTCTCCTCTCAGTGTCTCTCTCTCTCAGTGTCTCTCTCTCTCAGTGTCTCTCTCTCTCTCAGTGTCTCTCTCTCTCTCTCTCAGTGTCTCTCTCTCTCTCTCTCAGTGTCTCTCTCTCTCTCTCTCTTCTCAGTGTCTCTCTCTCTCTCTCTCAGTGTCTCTCTCTCTCTCTCAGTGTCTCTCTCTCTCTCTCTCTCGTCAGTCTCTCTCTCTCTCTCTCTCTCCCAGTCTCTCTCTCTCTCTCTCTCTCTCTCCCAGTCTCTCTCTCTCTCTCTCTCTCTTCCCAGTCTCTCTCTCTCTCTCTCTCTCCCAGTCTCTCTCTTCTCTTCTCTCCCAGTCTCTCTCTCTCTCTCCCAGTCTCTCTCCTCTTCTCTCTCCCAGTCTCTTCTCTCTCTCTCTCTCTCCCAGTCTCTCTCTCTCTCTCTCTCTCCCAGTCTCTCTCTCTCTCTTCTCTCCCAGTCCTCTCTCTCTCTCTCTCCTCCCCAGTCTCTCTCTCTCTCTCTCTCTCCCAGTCTCTCTCTCTCTCTCTCTCTCCCAGTCTCTCTCTCTCTCTCTCTCTCCCAGTCTCTCTCTCTCTCTCTCCTCTCCCAGTCTCTCCTTCCATCTCTCCTCTCTCCTCCTCTCCCAGTCTCTCTCTCTCTCTCCTCTCTCCCTCATCTCTCTCTCTCTCCTCTGTCCCCAGTCTCTCTCTCTCTCTCTCTCTCTCTCTCTCTCTCTCTCTCCTCCTCTCTCTCCTTCTCCTCTCTCTCTCTCTCTCTCTCTCGTCTCTCTCTCTCTCTCTCAGTCCTCTCTCCTTCTCAGTCTCTCTCTCCTCTCTCTCTTCCTTCGTCTCTCTCTCTCTCTCTCTCTCTCTCCTCTCTCTCTCTTCTCTCTCTCTCTCTCCTCCCTCTCTCTCTCTCTTCTCTCTCAGTCTCTCTCATCTCTCTCTCTCAGTCTCTCTCTCTCTCTTCTCAGTCTCTCTCTCTCCTCTCTCTCAGTCTCTCTCTCTCTTCTCTCTTCTCTCTCTCCTCTCTCTCCTCTTCCTCCTCTCTCTCTCTCTCTCTCTCTCTTCTCTCTTCTCTCTCTCTCTCTTCTCTCTCTGTCTCTCTCTCTCTCTTCTCTCTCTCAGTCTCTCTCTCTCTCTCTCTCAGTCTTCGTCTCTCTCTNCAGTCGGAGAGGTAGAATATAGCGGGATGAGAGAGAAGGAGGACAAGACCGCATAAACAATACAACAGGAAGGCAAAAAAATGAACAAAATAAAGACCGAGCTGACACTGCTTCGAAAATTGTAAGGCAGTTAACTAACGGAGCAAAAACTGTGAGAGAAATCTTCAGTTAGAGGAACGAGCGAGACTGACTTTTGGAAAGAGAGAAGAGAAGAGAAGAGAAGAGAGACGAGAAGAGAAGAGAGACGAAGAAAGAGAGAGAAGAGACGAGAGAGAGAGGACGAGGACGATAAGAGAAAGAAAGAAAGAAACACAGAGAGGAGAAATCAAAAGCAGAGATAAAAAGGAAGAAGACATACGTAGACAGAGAGACAGAAACATCCACCAAGAGAGATACAGAGAGAGAGAGAGAGAGAGAGAGAGAGAGAGCAGAGAGAGAGAGAGAGAGAGAGAGAGAGAGAGAGAGAGAGAGAGAGAGAGAGAGAGAGAGAGAGAGAGAAGAGAGAGAGAAAGACAGAGAAAGAGAGACAGAGAGACAAGAGAGAGCCACACTCGCTCACGCACACAGCGGAGCCCCAATCGTGTGTAGGGGGTTTTTAGTCGTGTTGGTGGCGGCACCCGGTCTAGCGGTGTTGTGAACCACACTAAAACTCTCGTCCCCAGCTCCTCCCCGCCAGCCTCCCGCTTCGACATGGTCCCGTCTCTCCCTCTCCTCTCTCTCCTCTCTCTCTCTCTCTCTCTCTCTCTCTCTCTCTCTCTCTCTCTCTCTCTCTCTCTCTCTCTCTCTCTCTCTCTCTCATTCTCAAAATATGCGAGGGGCGGTGGCACGCAAGACAGACAAACGAGAGACAAGCAGAGAGAGAGAAGAAGGGAAACGCGAGGACAGGTAGGAACTGCGAACGAGGGAAGGAGGGCGAAAGATGAAGAAATGGATATGTGTTCGAGTGTATCTACTTGGAATATACGTCAGCAGTTTGTCAATAGGCCTACCAATATAGCTACAAAAGGTGTAGGTATGTGTATGTTCCCATGTGAATAATCATGTAAAAATGTTTCTGTGAGAGAGAGATGGAAGGAGAGAGGGAGAGGGAGGAGAGGGGGAAAGGGAAAGGAGAGGAGGGAGAGAGAGAGAGAGATGGAGTGAGGGAGAGGGAAAGGGAGAGAGAGATGGGGGGAAAGGGAAAGGGAAAGGGAGGTGGGAGAGGGAGAGGGAGGGAGAGAGAGGAGGAATGAGAGAGAATCATAATTCTTCATAGCCTGGATGGCAGCTCGTCCGGCCGTGCTCAAGCATGCCATTTCTAATAATAATCACTAACTGGCTACTACGCAACCCCCCTCCCCCTCCTCCCCCCTCCCATCAACTTATCAAACCTAGATTACATTCTTCACGCGCCCTAGTCATTCTCCCTTCCCCCCTCCCCCCATTCTCCTCCCTCTCCTCCCCTCTTCCCTTCCTCCTTCTCCTCTCTCTCCTCTCTCTCTCTCTCTCTCTCTCTCTCTCTCTCTCTCTCTCTCTCCTCTCTCTCTCTCTCTCTCTCTCTCTCTCTCTCTCTCTCTCTCTCTCTCTCTCTCTCGCCCTCTCTCTCTCTCTCTCTCTCTCTCGCCCTCTCTCTCTCTCTCTCTCTCTCTCGCCCTCTCTCTCTCTCGCCCTCTCTCTCTCTCGCCCCTCTCTCTCTCTCGCCCTCTCTCTCCTCTCTCTCTCTCTCTCTCTCTCTCTCGCCCTCTCTCTCTCGCGCCCTCTCTCTCTCTCGCCCTCTCGCCCTCTCGCCCCCCCCCCTGCCCCCCCCCCCCCGTGAATAATGCGCCGCTCTCCACGTGGGGCGGGCGGCGGGCGCGCGGCGGGGAGGCCACAGGAAAACATTAACTGACGCATCCGTTACTGATGATAACATGCACGTCGGACGGCGGCCGGGGGGTCAGGGGGGGCTCTCGCGCGTTCGGACGCCGGCGCGGACTTCGCCTTCGTCCGCGTGGCGCTGACGCGTCGCTCCCCCTCCCTTCCCTTCCCACCTGTACTTCCTCCCTCCCCCCTCCCTCCTCTCCTCCCCCCCAATTCTCTTATTTTCTCTCCCCCGTTTAACCTTTTCCCTGCGACGCCCACACCTGGTCCTCGCCCATCGATCGGCGGAATGCCGTCGTTCAATTAAGACTTGAAAGAGCGAGTCAATCCCGCCGCCGGGAACGCACGCCCGTCGCCGCGGCCGCGAACGCCGCCCGAACGAACGCGTCTCGAGCTGGATTTGCTTGTCACGGATTCGCACACTCGCGATGCCGGGATCCACCGGGGAAACTGCGCACGCCCGCGCCACGCCCTCCCCTACCCCTCGCCCCTCCCCCTTCCCCCTTACCCTTCCCCAACCCCTTATCCTCCCCTCCCCCTCCCCTTTCCCCCCCTTCCCCCATTATCCTTCCCCTTCCCTCCCTCTTGTCCCTCCCCCTCCCCCTTCGTCCTGACCCATTTTTCTCCCTTGTCCCTCACCCTTCCCCATTGTCCTTCCCCTGCCCCCTCCCTCCCTTCCCCCTGCCCTCCCCCCTCCTATGTCCCTTCCCTGCCCTACCCTTATCCTCTCCCCTCCCCTCCCCTTGTCCCTACCCCTCCCCCTCCCCCTTGTCCTTTCCCCTCCTCTCCTCCTTGTCCCTTCCCTCCCTTCCCCATCCCATCCCCCCTTGCCCTCACTATCGACACCCTATATCCAATTAGCTGGAGCGCAAACAGATCAGTTCTCCGTCAGGTGCCGAGATGAGGAGTGCTGGGGAAAGAAAGGAAAAATGGAGGGAGGAGGGAGGAGGGAGGGAGGGAGGGAGGGAGGGAGGAGGAGGGAAGAGAGAGAGAGAGGAGAGAGAGAGAGAGAGAGAGAGATGAGAGAGAGAGAGAGAGAGAGAGAGAGAGAGAGGATAGACAGACAGACAGCAAGAGAGGAAGAGCAAAAGAGAAAAAAAAAAATAGAAAGAAAATGAAACAGAAAGACAAAAAAAAAAAAAATAAAAAAAAATAAAGTGCCAAACAAATAGAAAAAAAAACAGATACAAGCACACAAACTGCACCCTGTAC